ACATGACCTCTTCTATATAGGGGGTGTGTGGACGTAAAATGGAATGGTTATCTGGTAGTTCATAAATATGTTTTCTGATGTTACCAAGAATAACACTRAGTAATTATTGATTCATGTTGCAGTGAACGGAGCAAGCGCTACTGTGACCAGCCCTTATTGAACATCAGTGTCTCCTGCATTGTCTTTACATTTGCAATGATTGGTAAGTCAAAGGAAGCTTTAAAAAATGATCCACGGTCTTCAGAAACCATGGTCTAAAGTAAAATGAATACACCTAGTAATTACAAAAACATTGTCATAATTCAGTCCGAACACTTTTCATTGTCTTTTAAAAGAACAAACTGCTTCTATTTYTTTAGAGAAAGAAGAACAATGTTATTGAATCAGGTGTTTTTATCATGATTATCACTACCATAAAAATCACCATTATTGTTGTTTCTTGATAAAAAGAAATAAAAGTATTCATCTTTTTTTCTCTTTGTGCACATTCTTTAGCATTTTCCTTCTTGTTTGCTATGATGGAACCTGTTCCTTGGCAGTTGAAAATTGCTTTTCACTTCTTTGGATTTGGTTCTTTATTGATGGGACTTGTGCTATTTGCCTCATCATTGGATGTTATAGACTGTGTAAGTTAATAAATTGTGGATGCTCTTTTTTTACCAACATTTAAACATGCCTTGGTATTTCCCCATGTGGGATGTACCTCAATGAGGAAGGCCTGCAGTCAAAGCTACTAGAGGGAAACCCCAAGCCATCCAAGAGAAGTGATGCTCAATTACATAAAGGCTCTTGTCATATGAACTAAACTTAACCAACTTCAACATATTATCAGAAAGAGAGCCACTTCATGGAACATATAGAATTTTGCTGTGGGATATATATTTTTGTCAGCACGATGATTTGCCATTGAAGGCTTGGGTTTTGAGAGATTCCCATCATATCTGAATATTGTATTCTTACAGCAAAAATGTAGTATTCAGATTGCATTTGCATTATACTTTGAGAATTTAAGAAATGGAGGGTCACTTGCGATGATTGTGTAAAGATCTGCTTTCATATATTAGTGAACGCAGYGTAATGTGGACTTAAATCGTAAAAGTTGACTTTTTGTTCAGTGAGTTGGTCATGAAGAACAAACTTTGCATTTATTATAATATAGTGTGCACAACAAATATATTTTAGAGTTAATAAAAAGAAAAATGCCAAGTTAAACCTCTGAATTCAAATTTTCTCATCCTAAAAACTGCAGCGATATTGTTATAAATCAGTTATTATTTGTCCTTTTTTCCAGCCTAAATATGTCCCAGAATTGTACTACCTTTGTCTGTCCTTTGGCATTTTTGCAATCTTATCAGCAGGTATGTTTCTTTTCTATTTTTTCTTCGATTCTCTGGTTTTGTTCCCARTACTGTTTGTGTACTCCTTTCTTTCATTTATCCCATTTGTTTTCATGTTTTCAGTGCATTAGCTCCCTGATGACACCATATACTKKKATTGTACTATTGCTATTTTTTGTACTTTTCATTGACTTCTTACTTATTATAGGTTTCATCATCATAATGCTGCCATTTTGGCTGGTGAATTACCTCTGGCCAGATTCTGTGTTAAATAGAAGAGAAAGGAGAGGTGTATGTTATGAACCTGTTAAATGCTGTACTTGCTTGTGGCACATTTAGCTTGATCATCTTGGTGTAAATATGTTGTACATAGTGATTTCAAAATTATATCAACCTGGACCCAGCAATACTTAAATTCAAGTTTAATTGCAGTGCACCATCATCACAAATAAAAGAAAAAATGTTCAATCAGTTCAATACTGGCATCACATCATACATAATTAAAGACTTTGTGAATTACAGAATGAAATTTGGGACTACTAGGTTCCTTGTCACTTAATTAGTTGTGCAAATATTTTACATTATAGTCTTTGTAATTATTATTTAATGTAAATAAAGTATTGTTGTTTACTATCAGAGCACTAATCTAATTCACTGATTTAGCAGTTTAGGAACCAAGAAGAGTGTGAAGGTCCTAAATCTGTCGTCTGGAAGCGTGTTTCCATATTACRTAAACAACGTATATCTGTCTCTTATGTATATGTGGAAAAGTCCTACGTGGGGGAGCTACAGATATGCAGTCGAATTATATTTACAAAATATTTTTCTGGCCATAGAACASTTATGATCACAAAAGCGAGTGTTACTGAAAAACAAACAAACAAAATCAAACAAACAAACAAAACAACGGTTAATAATAGAGAGTTTTAGATACGCGTTTGCAGTTAACGTTAAACGTCAAAACTGATTACACGTGATTACGTGATCATTGTTTTTCTGTATTAAACGTAGTTATTAACGCTCCGTTCTTTAAGTGCATCACTATTCCTTTCGAAGCGTCATTACGTTTGTTTGAAATTTTGAGACAAAGCATTGGGGTTTGCAGTAAACGTGAATTCAGCGCGTAGCGTGGACGTTTTTTCTAGTGAGCACGTCAGGAACCGTGGCACATATTTTGGATCTGGGGGTAACGACCGCCAAAGGCGGGAGTATTAAGGGAGTCTGGAACTTCCCAGAAAAAATTGTAATAATAACTCTTGGAAATACGATTTACAGCGTTTTGAGAGACATAGAGGGCATATAAAAGGGATCAATTTTATGTGAATTTTTCAGGAATTTGTTTTT